ATTTCCTTTTTTCACTTCTAAAACAATTTGACACGCCAACCATGAAGTAACGTGCAGAATTCACCTCCTTCCATTAGATCACATTTGTAAATAAGCAGACTTGAAAATCAATAAAGCTGTTTAGCATTTTTAACTACTGCAAAACATATTCACATTTTGCCTCCTTCCTGCCGGTATTGGCGATGCTGCAGTGGTACCAAAGAGCTTGATTACCTTTGTGTTTGTTTTTGTTCAGGGAGACTTTTTTTTATAGGGAATGAATCTGAACTTATGAACACTTCGGGCTATGTTCCTGCGCCCTTTACTGTCGCTGTAAAACTTGTACAATAGTCGTGTGCAATTTTTTGTTTTGAAAACTCTTACTTCCGATATTAGAGAAATTGTTTGACAGGAAATCTTCAGTGTCGTCTACGCCTGTGTCCGGAAGGCTGTGTATGTGAAGAGACCAGGACTTGGGTGACTTTCCTCCCACTTCCTTTCCCTTTTTAACATTCCTTGTCTTTAGTTCCGTTCGGGTGTGTGCGTTTGTAGGTTTCCTGTTGTGATTTTAACCAGCTGTGCGCTTTCGTTGGTGATAATTGGAGGCCCCGGCGGAGTAGTGGGTGTATGAAGCCCTAGGCGGAGATGAGTTACTTCATCTCAAAGGCCGTTGGTTAGTCGGGCATTTTATTTAATTTTCTTCAATTGGGTTTTTGATAAAGTTCCATTTGGATGTGATTCCTGTTGATTACTATTCTCACAATAATGAATGATGGTGAAACTTTGATGCTGGTGAAAGAATATTTACGTGGCCTTCTCTCTCGGGACAGACACCAGGGTTTTCGAGCAGAGAGAGAAGAGAAAGAGGGGGGGGGGGGGGTCCGGTGAAAAGTGTAGATTAAGGACTCATTAGTGGGAGCTGGGGAGGGGGTAGCTGTGTACGTTTCCTTGTTTTTGTAAGGTGGACGGTTTGACTGGAGGACTGCAGAAGGAAAAAGGTAAACGGGTAAATGGATCGCGGACGAGCGGAGGGCGATTAAACGGGATTCGGCCGGAAGGGAAGGCGGGGGATGTTGTTCCAGACACCACCTTCTGTGCGACCCAACGCGTCACACTATCTGGGCCCAAACATTTTACTATGTGAAAACTGGAAACATTCCAGTAATTGATATTACTTTCAGTCGAATTCTAAGTGTAAAATGAATTTGCAACGGAGTAGTTGTTTGAGTACCATGGTGTTCTTGTTTAAATAACTGAGTGGATAAACAGCTGAGCTTCTTGACGGACGTTTTTGTGATAAGACACAGGCCGATTGGTCAGTTATTATTTTTCATGTTATGTTCTATATTTTCAAGTTTCCTAAAATCTATCAGATAATTAAAGAGAAAGAGTTAAAGAGAGAGAAAAACACGTGTGTGTGTTTGTCCGTAAAATAAGGACCTACAGTATACACGTATACATTAATTCAAACCGTTATTTACTCTTACAACGAAACCTCATAAACTCATGGACTTAGTTTAACACGTACTAGGAAATGAAGACTGACGTGTCTTTAGGGCAGATAAGCGCTCATGACACGACATGAAATTCGCTCAATATATGGGAAACAGGGCGCGGCTCGTCCTGTAATATCATTGTTGTTGTTATCAGTATTCTTATTATCATTTTGTAATTACTGCAGCTACTACGGATATAAGTGTTATCATTATTATCATTACTTTCATCTTTATCCTTATCAATAATATCTTAATTATTACCATTATCATTTTTATCTTGCTTTGTTGTTATCATTTTTATCTTGCTTTGGTGTTATCATTATTATTACTATAACTATTAGTATTAGTGTTATCATCATCAATATCATCCTCATCATCATCAGTGTTATCCCTCTTGTCAACATCATTTTATTGATGATATTTGTATAGTTATCGTTTTTACAGTGTAGTATTGCAACAAATATTATAACATAAATGTGTACTAATATGTAAAATCACTGTCATGCTAATTCATTATTAAATAAATAATAATAATGTATAGGTAATATGTTGCGCTTGTAATGCCCCATTTGTTTCTAAATGCTGCCTCTACTCTCTCCTCACTGTACCCGGTTCTGAAAAAAATGCGGAAATTTGGTTGTTCATTATACATTGTTAATAACTACGTGCCAGTCAGAGTTAAAGAGGATAGAGCTATAATACAGGCAAGTAACGAACAAGGAATTAATGTTCATGAGTATTTAATCTCTCAACACTTGCTTTTGAGAATTCGTATTGCCACTCACAGGTCAAAAAAAAAAAAAAATCGTAGTCGCATATTAATCCAGGTCTGGCTAATTCATGATTTATGCTGATATTAGGGTTTTAATTATTCATGAATATATACCAAAGAACAATTTTTGATTGGAATTTAAATAACGTATGATGCACATCACTGGAATGTTATGTACTATTCACTTTGTAGCTTCATCAAGAATGCATCCTGTGTGACTGTATATGATACTTGTAATATTAAGCGCTTTTTA